TACATCCTTCTATTTCAGTCACTGATGAATTTTACAGCAGAAATGACAAAGGGGATATGCCTACCCTCTTTTCTATCAGTAAGCTAGGACATCAGATTGTCTTCTAATGTAAATCAACACTGCTAGAAACACACACATACACACAATTACATTGAACCCTTAAAAAGCAACAACAGGTTTTCTGACAATATTTTTCTTTGTGAAGAAAGGCTGTACATTACAATCATAGAAGTTAGTAGCTTTAAATTAGCATGGATAAGGAAATCTGTCATGGCCTAGCAGAATGCTTGTCCAGCTATTGTGGTCAATCTTCATCAGAAAAAAAATATTAGTTTGTGTTTAAAATGCTGATTTAATATCACTTTAATACACTGAGCTGTATTATCTGTTTTACAGTGCAGTAATCTTGCTAATACTTAGGTGATACAAAGTGGCTATTTTCCCTAACACCACCCAACTTCTGGCAAGCCGTCTGAAAAACAATAATTAACCACTGGGCAAGGCAAGAGGGAGTTAACTGCCCAAGCATCTGATTAGTTTCTCAAAATCTGCAGGGTCAAGCAGTGAATTTTTCAAAATAGATTTTATTCACTGTAACAGAAAACTACATTTATTGACACTTAACAGTAAAGAATCTTCTATGTGACACATAAAATGTAGCATTACATTATTACATTAAGTTCAACAAGAGTAAGAAGGAAAAAGTATATGGTATGTGACATGCAACATAGCATTTAAGATCTAGGACTGAACAATTCCAGTGCCCTAACGGGATCCTTTTATATTTATTTCGGTTAATGAAAAAAAAAAATTCTTAAATGAAATGCAGCAAGCACAAGCATAAATAAGAGCTTTTAAAATCTTATCACAATATATTACCGAATGAGCTAATCATGAAAAGCATTTTTATGGAAACAAAAGGGGCTTTACTTACTACAATCAATACAATTCACTTTAAGATCTCCTATTTATGCTGCCTTTAACCCTTAAAATAGACCTCTCATATTTTAAAATGCCTGGGAAAGGACTAAAACCATTCCACAAGTTGCCAAGAATTGCTCTCTCTCCCTTGTATTGCTCATTCCTAGGCTAAAGCCACCCAAGAACCTCTGAATCTCCAGCTCTTGACAGCATTCAATCTCTCCAGAACTGAGTTGGAATGCATACGATAAAGGACAGTGACATAACAGCAAGTTTTATTCTAGAAACTGGCAGAAAAAAAAATCCATTCCCATGCAGTCACTCAAGTCCTAATTCAGGTCCCCCACTTCTCTCTGGCTCAGTGGTTCTCAACATGTGGTCCTGGGAACTGTAGCATCAGCACCAACAGGGAACTTGTTAGAAATGCAAATTCACAGCCCCACCCCAGACCAACTGAATCACCAACTCTGGGAAAGGGGCCCAACAATTTGTGTTTTCACAAGCACTATAGGCGATGAAGATGTTTGCCTAAGTCTGAGAACTAGTCCTCTTCCAAATTTAGTGTGCCTAAGAATCAGCTGGGAAGCTTGTTAAAATGCAGATTGTAATTCGACAGGTCTAAGGGGTGAGGTCTGAAAGCCTACACTTCTAACCAGTTCCTAGGTGACCTCGCCTGCAGACCCCATTGCAAGTGTTTTCCATACCAGCTGTGTACAAAAAGAAAGAAAGAAAAAAAAAACAGGATGCTCATAAATATATAAATTCCAAGGAACTACCCACTTCACCACTCTGGTAAAATGAGTACAGTTCTCCAGGTAAAGACACAGAAGGATGTAACTCATGGGTCTCCACATAGGCTAAATATTAGTATCATCTGAGGATGACTTTCAATAACTCTGATTCTGAGGCCTCACTAAAAATCAATTAAGGCCGACTTCGGGGCTGGGACCCGGGTTTCCATGTTTTTATTAACTTGCATGTCATTCCAATATGTGGTCAAGTTGAACATAACAGCTCTTGAGTCTAACTGGTTGAAGCCGCGACAGGAGCAGATCCTTTTAGTCTGCAGTAGCAAACATGTTCCTATAAAATAACTATGTGGACCCCCTAGAATACAGATCCAAGAGTTTTGACTTGGAATAAATGCACCTGAAGTTACATATTTCTTGCATCTTGAACCTTATCTCTGTGGACTAATATGCCCGTATAATGCCAACTGCAGTGAGGTAGAAACAACAAAAACAACGAAAAAAAAAAGCACCAATAACAGAGAAATTGTATTCACACAGCCTATTCCTATATGTAGGATCATCCAAAAAAGTTCATGGAAAATATATATTGTGAAAACTGCATGGATTACCTTTCAGAATGGAAAGGTCAGTAAAGTAACTGATGGATTTTGAACTTCTAAACCGAAGAAAGACGGGCTTTACCGTGTGCATTCTGACAGAAACGTCCCAGGAGATGAAAACAGTGTCTTTTGTAGATGACAATTTGAAATTGTCAAGAGCATATCTTCTGGTGAACAGATAAGGTACCTAAAACACGCTGCTGTGACATAAAACTAACAGGCTGGAGGAAATCAAACCAAAAAGCATGTATTAGGGCACCTAGTACAAAACCACACTAGTAAGTACACGATGCTGTTATGTATGTAAAAGAAAAAACAGTGTCAGGGGTCACCAAGACACTGTTAAACTATTAGTCATTTCACCCCTACATTCAAGAAATCTTGAAGTTTCCACAATAAATCTCAAAAATGCGCTTAAGATGCATTTAAATAGGATGCAGTCTTCATTCCACTTAAATGACCTGTCACTGTCCACTTGGTCATGTTCAGTGTCTAAATTAGTTGTTTTGAGGAATACATGACACATTTAAGGCCTGCTAAATGATACGAGCTATTATTCTCCCACCAGCATTTCAGTACATTCATAGCAGTGAAAAGTGTATCATATTCACCTGTTTGATTTCACAAAAAAGAAAGCTAGCAGCTGGGGTACGCAAAGAGAAGCACATATCTAAATATGTATGCCGAGTGACCACTGTGAAAATATATTTCCCATCCATTTTCTATATGAACTGGTCAAGCTCACTATCCTTTGAAAATTCTTATTACTGTCATTCAGTTGACTCAAACTCACTTTAAGATGTGTGAAAATAGCACCTCCTGAAAGTGTGTCCTGATACACTTTGGAGCAATGGAGCGTGAATACTAAAACAGCTTTTGTCAAACTCATGTAACAGCTCAAGAACTAAACAGGAGTGAATTGTTGCGGTCCTATGACTGCACAAATATCATCCCAGGACTAGCCTTTATGTATAACCAGGCAACCAGGAAAATACATAAAAGTCACAAATAAATTACAGACACTTCATGGATTTTTCTTTATGTGTTATTTTTCAAAATGAATTTTACTTCTTACCCAGAAAAATAAATAAATTGGCTAAATAAAGGTGTGGACTTAGAATTTAAGCTCCTAGAATTAACACTATGAAATGTATAAAGATAATGTATTTGACAAAGCACTTGTCTGTTTGCCCTTTCATGCCTTTCTCATGAGCCAGTGCCCATAGATAACCAAGTCTAAAAGAAAATGGTCAGAACACAGGAGAGTTACACAGAATTAAAGACATTTAAAGTATCAGAGAAAACAAACAATACAAACATGCACAATTTCCAGGACACTTTATTATACTTTCCACTTTACATGGTAACTTTATATTTTCCATCTAAGCAGAAGTGTTCACACTCATCCAAGTTCAATCCTCTAATCTCACAAAATGAAAAGCACAATTTGTAAAAGAAGATCAATCCAGGTATATACCATATGAGACAAGAATCACTCATCCTGACTAGAAAAGGGGTTGATTCTTTTCAGTGTGGGTTTTGCTGAAATTTTTCTCCATTATTTTTCTTGTGGCTGCTGAGTACACATAATAAAAACAATCACCCTCTCATTCTGCCCTCTCCTGGTATTAACATTCTATCTAGGATTTAACTCAAGAAAGGCCAGCTCACACTCAGTTTACACAAATAATACACATACGTGTGTGTAGCTCTCATCTCCCACACACCCAAACGGACAAGGATTGGAACCAACCGAGCTTTTCGCCATAACAATGCTATTTTAACCAGTTGCCGACCACACACTTGAAGGGTAAATAATTAAGAGTACAAAACCAAAAGAAACCATAAAAATTCCTACACATGTACTGCTGGACTGTTTAGCTGCTTCTCAGATCGTTTCAGTATAACACAGATTTCTTAAAAAGTGAAATGGACACAAAAGCAAATGTACGCTTAGTATCCAAACTGACAGTGGCTCTGTGGGGACAGCTCTCTTTGAATGAGCTATTACCCAGATAGTAGAATGAGGGAAAGAAAAAAAAAAAGAGGTCTCACTCTTCTCTGCTAGGAAGCCGGCAGTGCGCTCAATTCACTAGAAACACATTTTAACGGGTATGCTGATAAAAATACATCGTAAGGGGAAAGTGTGTTTTCAAACACCCCCACCCCTGGCAAAAGGAAACGCGGAGGAAAGGAATGGGTAAGACTTCTAACAAGCTCCGGAGCCAAGTTCCATCACTAACAGAAGAGAAGTTAGATAGTCGCTGTTTTTTACCCTGCTACGGGAAAGTAGTTCTGCAAGTGCAAGATCCGGGGAGCGGGAAGAGCGGCGGCGATATTTTCACACGGGGCAATGGAAAACCTAAGTGAGGAGAGCTCTACACCTGGGGTAACCGAGATCTCCAAAACTTGGACGGGGTAGAGAGTAGCGAAAGCGACAAGGAACCGGGGAGCAAAACTCCTGGAAGTTATTGCAAAGAGAGAACGAACACCTCTGGGAACCCCGTGCAAGTCGCTCGCAGCAGCACCCTGTTCCAAGTGTGGGCTGCCGGCCTCAGAGGGTAGAAAGCGCGGGGTGCCCTTCCTGAAGTCGAGTAGCTCCGGAGACCCGGGCAGCGAGAGGAGCAGGGGCAGCCGGCGGCGGCGAGGAGACGGACTCGCACTTTGCCTCAACTCTAAGCCCTATCCCGAGCGCAAAGGAGAGGGCGGCGGAGGGCACGGTACTCACTAGGGCTCATTGGTGAACCGGGGGGTCCGGGGCTGCTGGTAGCCGTACAGGTGACAGTAGAGCACATCGAAGCAAAAGCAGCACATCTCTGCAGACACCACCATCTTCCGAGAGCCCGGCGATGAGGACGAGGCGGCGGACGATGAGGGCGAGGAAGAGGTGGCGGCGGCAGGCGTGGAAAGTAGGGTTCCCACTCCGCAGCTCGGAGGTGGAGACAGGGAGATACCCCCGCCGCCGCCGCAGCCCTGGGGGGGAGAGAGGGTACAGCCGCTGCCGCTACCTCCTCCGGTTAGACCTCCCAGCCCGTTGAGCCGAGTACCGGCGCCTCCTAGTCCTAGCTCCCCAGCTCGGCACTGGCTCTCTCCGCTACAGTGGGAGGAGGAGGCGCCACTACCGCCACCCGTGCCAGAGGGGGGCGAACTGGACAGTTTCTGCTTCTTCACCCCGCAGCAACCCGCCGCCATCTTGGAACACTCTCCCCCACGCAGCGCTTCCGACCCATAAGTGAGGCGAGCTGGCGGCGGGGGCGAGCACGCTGCGGCCCCGGCCGCCGGGGGCGCGCTGGGGGCTCGCGGGACGCGCGCGCGCCGTTTCCTAACCGGCTGCCCGGCCACGAGGCTGCCCCGCGCGCGCCCTCGTCCCGGCGCGCGCCCCGCGCTTTCTTTGCCAGGCGTTTAGTGCCCGTCCCGCCCGCAGTCCTAATCCCAAACCCTGCCCTAGGCAGGCAGAGGATGGAAGACAGGAAGCCCAAAGGGAAAGAAGGCGAAAGGAAAGAGACCAGAAGCGTGGACAGGGGAGCAAAGAGAGGAGGAGGTGGGCATGGCCAGGAAGGAAGAGGGGAAAGGGAAGCTAGTGTGGGAGTGGAGGTGAAGGGAAAGAAAAAAGTCCGGAGTAAGCGTGCAAGTCCCAAAGCACAGCTAGGTGACCCTCGCTGCACGTAGCTTTAGTGACACTTGAGCCCAGTTACATGGAACTCGAGCCACGCGGCCTCAAATACTCTGGCCTCTGGACTGTTGGAGTGTGAGCAAGCAGGTGATCAGAGCTCCACACCTGAGACAGCCTTTGCAAAGTTTGTACAAAACCTTCGGGGAAATGGCCACAGTGTGGTGCCTATAATTGCAAGCTAAGCACACACTAGGGGTTTTCCAAGAATAGAGTTAAAAAAAAAAATACTCTATTCTTCACAAATCCTGAAGCCTGATTGAATATATATGTATTTTATTCTTGTCCCTCCAACGTCCCCCCTTCTAGCTTCGTGTAAGCGTTTATAAGCAGAAACCAAAGTACTACACGGCATCTCACTGGCTCAGAGATGTTCCTTATGCGTTGAGAATTGCAATGGGCTTTCAGCTTGTGTTTGTTTGCTTCATTTGGCTTGAGACCAGAGTAATTCCCAGTACACCTGTAGCAAACGAGTGTTACAGATGAATAGGGCAGGTAGTGTACTCAGTCACAAGCAGAAAGATTGTTGTCCAGGTGTATAATGACAGCGTTCTTAATTATCATTTTTTAAAATTTTTCAAGAGATTCTGGACACCTAATAAGCAGTTTAGTGGAAAATGAAAACAGTCAAAATATTAAGCTTTGGAAAAATGAAAGTAGAAACGACGTGTAAGTTATTGGCAGTGTGTCTTCCTCGTAGCAAAATATCTGGACAATGTCAGGTATCTGCATATTGGGGAATAGCGAAAGATTGATGTTTCACCGTTGCTCTACATATGCGGGATCTTGCAAATAGATAGGGGGTTGTTCATTCCACTTAGGAAAAAAAAAATCATTCGGTAAACACTGAGCCTCTGCACCATACTGTGTGCACAACAGTGTGCTTCTGTTGAAGTCCAGGGCATACACCGGAAACATGCTTCCCACTCTCAGGGTTTATAAATTAAGCCACGTCTGTGTACATACTCAGGAAGAAAGAAAAAGGGGCTACTATTTATTGAGCATGTTTTAGATGCTCAGGACCATGCTTCATCTTACTCCCACAGTCCTTGAGAATAATATATTATCTCACTTGATTTTTACATCAATACTCTGAGTTGTTCATTCAATCCTCAGCAGTAAGCTGCCCAACATCACACCCCTGGAAAGTGCCAGATCTTCGAGTTACATGAAGTCATGCCTAACTCAGAAGACTGTCAGTATTTCATACTGCTTCTCAATGGCAAAGTTATGGTGACAGGGTTAGTGATGGATGCATAGTAGTGATACTGAACTGTGGTAGGTGGAAACAAAATTAAGTAAAAATAAGAGCTTGTGTGTGTGTGTGTGTGTGTGTGTGTGTGTGTGTGTGTATGAGAGAGAGAGAGAGAGAGAGAAAGATTTAGAGACTTGTTACCAAGGAAAATGAAGAACCCCATTCCAAAAACATTGTATGGAATAGATCAGCTCTCTGGCCAGGATACATAAAGCCCAAAAACAAAAAAACAGGTGACAACTTTGTGATGTATGGTTTCACTCTCTCAAATTCATTGTCACTGTTAGAAGTATGTTTAAAATGATTAGTAATTATTATTAAATATGAATAACAAGTTATGGTCAATTACCAGTGGTGTAAAAAAACACATTTTTTTGGTCTAGGTTACAGATAGGAAAGCAGATTGGTTTTAACAGATAAAAGCCCTACAACGAATGTTATGATGTTAAAATGTTTTGTTTTGCACTTTATCCTTAGCTACCTTTTAATTGTGGCAAACTAGATCAAATATACTATCAAACAATAGATTCCAGTTTACTCCCTATCCACTAAAAACAATGATCACCTCTAGAGTAGGAAACCAGAGCCATTTAGTGATATCAAACAACAATTTAGCACAGGAAGCAAAATAGCATACGATGGATAGCTGCTTCTGCTAGGGGAACTTAAGAAAGCAGAATGTAATCTCCCAATTTAGAATTTGGCCAGTAGACAAGCGTCTAACGCCCTTATCCTTGTGAAAATAGCGAGGAATCTTTAATAAGCACCAGGAGTCATGTCCTTAGTGCTGCATTTCATGTAAAATACAAAGTACTCTCACGGTTATCTTGCCTGGCAAAGGGACTGATGCATTGGGAAACCCAAAGACAGGGACACCCCGGATGAAATTCGAAAATAGCTCTTCTCCCAAGAATTTTTAATTGCAGTTCCAACCCTCACCAGAACACTGAAAATAGACAAACTGAAATGTGATCATTGAAGGAAAGCCATCATTACCCAACCACTAGGAGTTACTATCTGAAATACTTCCTCCTATTAGCTGGCTCAAAGGAAGTGTGTGTGTGTGTGTGTGTGTGTGTGTGTGTGTGTGTGTGTGTGTGTGTGTGTGTGTAGGCAAATAGTGGTAGTGGTGGTAATGCCTCTTTTTTAGCCTTTGAGGAAATGCATTTCCCGGCCTTGTTTTCTTTCTTGTTTTCGGCCTTGTCTTCAAAGTCACTAGCAGCATAAAAGTTAATATATTTCATTTAAACCCGAGTGAAATCCACAGAACAAATGCGGTTAATTCTTTTTTACATCTGTGGAAAGTGCACACAGGATAGGAAAACTAACCTTGCTCAGGATTCTCTTGACTTGAAGCATAAAGGTCAAAGTATGATAAAGCACATGTGTTTCTACCCAGCACTGATACTGGAGTGTGGTGATAATGTTCTCCCGAGGAAACATTGAGGTGCTTTCTGCTCTTTGTAACTGACTGCTAAGCTGGGAGCTAAAGATTCCATGTTTCTTTTAAGGAAAATAAATAAGTTAAATAAATAAATAAATAAATAACAAAAAAAAAAACAGTAAATAGGCCACAGTCTCCTTGTCAACAAAACAATTTCAGCCTGTAAGCATTTCTGTTTTCTCAGCTGCCTTTACATTGCTATTAAGAGACTTGTTTTAGAACTATGGAAAAAGTACTCCAACAGTGGTTATGCCCATTATTTACATAAAACTGAAAACTGAATTGAACCCAAAAGTAACTGGTGCTTTTATCATTGCCCCAAGTTATTTCATGTTTATGACAGTTTATTTTTTCTATTTAGAATGTGAAAATAATTGCAATTTGATGAAGCAGTGAGCTCATTAATGTTGTAAACGTATTTTCTGACTTTTCGAGGGATGTAGGTAAAATGAGGAATGTTTATATAGTTCAATTTTTAAAAGTATCATTTATGCCCAAACAAGTGTTATTTTTATCCTGTCATCAAACTTTCTCAACTGTCATCCTTGAACAACTGCAGAATGTAATATTCTTAGCTACCACTTTGATCTAACCTTGTACACATATAACTCATGTTTGTGGTTGTGGAGGCGGTGATCAGTTCTCTCTTTTATATTTGCATGAATAGATGAGTAAAATTCTTTATACACTTCTCAGTTCCAGTTGATAAATCATTTGCTTGTTTTCCTGGTTATAAAGCCGGTGCTAAACTGTTGTGTGATGTCCCACTTAAAGTTCCCCTTTATCTAATGAATACATTTATGAGCCACAGCACCATGATCAACCTTGGACTGCTTTTAATAGTTTAATTTACATCTTCTATCATCAACTGGAGTGCAAACTAGTTGAATGTTGTTTGCTATCAAATTCCTGGAGACAAAATTATACTAAATCTTCGGTAAAATTTAGATATGCTAATATCCACCTTAAGAGTGGAAAAATAATGGAAGCTAGTTAGTTGTAGGTTGGAAAAGGAATGATATTGGAGCAACAGTAGTTGAGAATAAATAAAACATGAAGGTGTTTACTTTCATTTCAAAATCTTTGCTTGACTTTTTTCTCTTTTCTAATCAACTACCCTAAATGCATATTCTGGGTTGTGAAAACAGAGATACTACGACTCAATTGCGCCTCACTTCCAAATGCCACTATAAAAATATAGTTGTTTTTCATTTTTAAAAAGTTTTATCAGAAGAGTATAACTATTTGAAAGGCAGAGAGTGAGAAGCAGATTTCTCACCTGCTAGGACATTCCCCAAATGCTCACAATAGCCAGAGCTGGGCCAAGTGGAGTCCAGGAGTCAGGAACTCCACCTGCATCACCCATGTGGGTGGCAGGGACCTAAGTAGCTGTATAATCACCTGCTACTTCCAGGGGTGTGCATTGTCAGAAATCGGGAATGGAGAGCAGAGCTGGTACTCAAGCCGGACAATTTTGATGTGGGTTGTAGTTGTTTTTCTGTAGCTGATTTTATTGTCTTCTGGACCACTTACTCCAGTTAACTGGAGGCACCAGTTAGACAGTGTAAGAATTAATACTGTCCATTAAAATATAAAAGACTGTGAGAATTCAAAACATCTTATTGTATAAATATTCTATTTAGTATTCAAACTCTCATGGCACTGAGAAGCAAAATTTGAACCCCATAACTTCTGCTGGAAGTAGCTCATATTTGCCTCACTCTATCTCTTATTTTAAATAATCTGCAATTTATAACTTATGCTGTCGAGATGAGCAGTGCAGAATGATGGTGACAAGAAGCTCCACCTTTGCACCTTACTTACTTCCCAGCGTGCTTACCTCAGGTCCTTGTGGTATAACTGATGCTCTAAATTTCAGCCACAACCTCTATCCAGCCCCTGACTTTGGCCGTGTACTCCACATACTCCACTTAGGCCTAGTCACTCCATGTCGTAGCAACTGCCTGAAAAATAGGCTGCCTGT